ATTTTCCCATCAAAGTTGTAGTTTTTACTGATAAGGTAGAATGTGATATAATATGGAGTACAATCATTTTTATTTACAATGTATTTCATTTTCTAGACGTATTATTCTACTTTTTTTTATAGGTAAAATGAAGAGCTTTTTCAGGACTCAAACTCAACCCACGTTAGTGGGTTAAATAATCTTGAAGCATGGGTGAATGATAAAGGAAATTTCTCTCAAAGTTGGACCAAAAAGGGTAAAACTAAATAAGGATTTGAATATCGAATCAAAGGAATCTAATTAAAACTAACATGTCTTTTTTTTAAAAAAAAAAAAAAAAAAAAAAAAAAAAAAAAAAAAAAAAGGAGTATATAGTTTTATAAATATATAGTTTTCATTCTCTATAAATAATAATGTCAAAATTAAATGCAATAAATAAACCGGAGTATGAAGTACTCTGTAAAAGACAGAAAAATCACTCGTATAAAAGAACAGAGATAATGCGAGTTTATTTGGAAGGTGTGAAAATTAAAAAACGGAGGGCCCGAAAAGCCAACGGGGTCACGTTGTGGACCAAAGAATGTAAATGTAAACCCAAAAACCCAAGTTGAGAGCAGTAATTGGAATGAATTGAGTTGCCCTAGTAGTTGGACATGACTTTAAAATGGAGGGGTCCCTTTTTGCTCAAGGTAAATGACCCTTTAACAGTATTCATAAGAGAAAATAGCGAAAGTGATTGACTATTGAATGCTGATGCCCACTTTAGGTATCTTTTTCGTTAATATTTAACCTTCTCACTCAATTAATTTTCTTTGTGAATTGTGAATGAATGAAATGAAATGTCCACTTTGATGTGAGGTACATAACAACATTACTGGATAAGCCTTTTTAGTCGTTTTTCAAATCAATTTGACCCTCTTGTGTTCACTTTTTTTTTCTTTCTCCCCCGACCTTTTTTGTTTTTAACTTTTTCTATTTAACATTACGAGATGAGAATAGCAGCCATAACAAAGTCCCAAGAGTCAAATATGTCACTCATTTTATACTCTATTCATTTCTGAATAATTGACACATTTTGACTTTTTTTTAATGTTTATTTTTAAATTATCACTTTAAGCATACCTTTTTTGTAATATATAATCATTACATATTTTACTTGAATATAATCTTTATCATACGAATAAAAAATAAGTTAAAACATGAGCCATAAGGATGCACAGCTCTAGAGTGGCTCAAATCACTCCCTACTTTGTCCAACTTCAACCAATTTTGTGGAGGCAAAATGTTTTACTTCCATGTTTTAGGTAACATAAGCCATAAGAACAACCCATCATTGACATGAGGGTATCAGCTTGCAGGATTGCCCACAAGCGCTACAAGCTCAAGGGATCTTCGTCCACGAGTATGCAACAAAGCATTCAGGAAGGGCAATGCCTAGAGACTTCAGGTCACATATACTCGCTCTATCTTTGTTTTGCATGTTGGGAATTTCATCCAAATACCACATAGAAGAAATAGCAAGGTAAGGAGCTATTTATACACTAGTACAAGGCTATTTGGAAAGGAGCCCAAAAACAAAACCGTGTAGGCTTGGCCTAAAGCGGTGAAGAATACTCCACCTTCCAAGTTGCATCCATTCTCGCAAATCTACTTATTACAACAGTACAACACAAATTAGACTTGCCCAAATAAAAATGAATTTTCCGAAACAATGTTTCTTAAGAACAAAATTTGTGAATCTGAGCAATTTTCTCTACAGAAACACAGTGTAATAGAAATGGCATAAGTAGGGAACTTTTGGATTTCTGCTAGTAATAAGAGGCTTATCTACTTTGAATTCTTCTCTTGTTTGATATTACATATAAACTGATCAAGGGGGCCAATACAATCATTGCCTGTCACAACATCTCGTTGATTCCGATTCTCCATTTTCGTGAGGTTCATATTGTTATCGTTTGAATACAAATAAAAGCAAGGAACAAGCATCATATTCTGTCTAAGCCTAAGGTTATGTTTGGTTCAACTTATTTAGCGTGAATTTATATTAAATTGAGCTTATTTTCACCACGACAGAACTTATGCTTCCCACAACTTTGTTTGAGTTCATAAAACAGATCCTAAGCTAGCAGAACTCAGTGCCTATTTAAGTTATATTCTGAGTAAAATCTTTAGCAGCTATTAAAAAATTAAGTAAAAGCAGCAGAACGAAAGTGAACAAATTAAAATGACAGTTGCTCTTATGTAAAAAAAAAACAAAAGTGAAAGCTAGAATTTCATTTTTAGAAGCTAGGCTAACTTTAAAGGCTAGCTTGAAAACAACATATGTAAAGCAAAGATCTAGTCTAAGATATCATTAGGCTAGGACGTTGAAACTTACTTGCTCGTATCGCATCAAAGCAAATTAATACTGTACTGATACACACCACACAAGTACTAAGCATCAGCAAGCTGCAGACTTACCAAATTTGGTCGGTAGGAGAGGGTTTACAAAGATCCTACATTAGATACGAACGAGTTTCAAGTTCAAGAAAAGAGCAGATAAAAAAGTTGAAATCATGTAGGCATACTGAAATGAAACATTTCATATTGTTCATCGAGGATGATTATTTAAAAATTGAACACATGAAGCACATACTGAATGTGGCCTAATGCATACTGTCCCTCTGATGGAGAATAAGACAGGAGAAGGATTGGATACATTTGTTTATACCCCTCTCCTCCTCCCTTAGCTTATTTCTTTCTAGCTAACATTGCACTAGACCGCTAGGCCGGAACAATTACTTAGCAGGCAGTAATATTCTCTTACTAAGGGCATACTTGGATCAAGGATGAAGCAAAGAGGTGATAATAAGAGACGAATATAAAAAGTGGTAAGGTGGTGGTGATTGAGGAGGGATATATGGAGATATCACTACCCTTTGAACGGATGTTAGTTCAGCACCACCCACCTAGTGTAAATTACTATCCCCAAATCGATGGTAAATTGCTAGGAATTTCTACATCCAAATTCATTCAACAACTACCACTTCTATCCATCTTCTTTCTCGTTATTTTCTCTTTACTGCCAACCCAAGGATTCCTTCAAGTCTTCAAGAGACAACAAAGTAATGAACATGATCACAAAAACTAACATAAAACTAACCAATCATTGTTCTCGACTTCTCCTTTTCATCCTATTTTGTCGCTCCACTCATAATCCAATGGATGTCTTTCAAAATCCCGAAACTAGCTCAATACCTCTGACTCTGTCAAATGATTGGAGTCCAGATCATGTTTTGGTGTGGAACTGAATACAACTTCTGAGAAAATCAGATCAGTAACATCTGCCCTATTTCCATTTTCCAGATTCACTAATTTTTGCTGCTTATTAGTTATGTTTTGTAATTCTTCATAACAATTCCTGACTAAATCCTACAAAATTAAATGGTATCATGACCATGTACTTTTTATATACCTAGTTGATGCCCATAAGCAGTTCATTAAAATATAGCACAAGTTAAACCTAGCAAAAAGACTCAAGCTCAGATGACTACTCGTAAATGATCCAGCTTGGTGACCAGATACAAACTTCATTCAATCACATCAAAGTGGTAAGGACATAACCAGAACAAGTAAATCAACTCTGAATAAAAAATCACATCACTTCAATTATTAGATGATGAACACAGTCCAATGATAAAGAGAAACACTGAATCATGCCTTCTAGATGGACATACAAACACATGAACTATATGAAGCCAATCTATTGCCTACAACTTTAAAATCTTTTTACTTAAAACATCAATAAGTATTTAACTGTAACACAGGATGTTTAAGCATCCTATCACAAGCCAAAATGACCAAAAATGATTCCCCAGTATAACATATTACCCTGTCAGTAAATTTGAACATTGTAAAAATGACCATTGCCATCAATGCAACTACTGTTAAGTACTATGATGCATCAAACTTGTACAAAAACCAGTCAACTACATTATACCAGACATATGTCCTAATTAACCTTTCAGACATGACTAGTGAAAGTAACAGGAGTTACAGGACCCTAAGAAGCAGGAATATGAAGCAAACAAAAAAAAAAAAAAAAAAACAAAAAAAAGATGAAACAGCAGTTAAATTGGGCATACCTTGTCATAGATAGATATTAGATAGCCACATTGATGTGGTACCTTTTAGCTCACACTTCTACAGCATCTGTCCAAAAAGCAGAAATGGCAAGGAAATTGTACAAAGAAAACATGACATTTACACACTCGTGTGTTTATAAATGAAACTCAACAAGCAAATTGCAAGAATTGTTTGGTCAAAACATACCGAGGAAACTCAAATACTACTAAGGGGGCATTTGGTATAGTAGTTTTAGATGTAGGAAACGGATTCAATTAAGTGTTTCCATTTCTAGTTGTTTGGTATGAATTAAAAGTAACAAATACCATTTACGAAAGATAACAAAATCCCCCAATTTGTTACCCTTGACAAACTAGTGGAAACAAAATACGTTTTCTTACTTAATCACAATCTCCTCAAATTGTTTCCATTCCACTAGGATACCAAACATATAGTAAAGGTAACTTTTATTATTACTCTTTCCCTTACTTATTTGAATCCTTCCGTTTCATTTACAATGTTTATACCAAACACCCCCTAAATAAGGAAAAGGTCACAATCTGTTGCCATTGGGCAAGAATAGAAACAGGAGTTGTAAAAACAACCATTAAGCAAATGCAGAATAGACAAAAAGTGAAAGGGGAATAACAAGACAGTATACTAACTCAAATGGTTTCCCAGGATGCTCAGCTCCCCCTACACCCCCCCTTGGAAAGAGAGGGGTGGGGGTGGGGTGTTCTTCTGAACTAAGTTACTGCTCAAAATCAACAACATGCATGCATTAATCTGAGTAAATATCAATTCACCGATGGTAAATGATATAGGCCACTTGCTGATGACAAAGAACACATGTTACCATCCCCAAAATTGCACGGGAGATGTATATCTTCAAAGTCATCATCATGAAGAGATAGGTATGATAAACCAAGACATCAGTGTGAGAGAAAGGATATATTCATGTTAGCACAATATACACATGTTAGAACACCTCTCACCCAAAAATTAAAAGAAAGATGCAATGGCAAATGGAAAACATTATGTAGCAAGCTAGTACCATTAAGTACACAGATACTTGATAAAGGCACTGCAATTATCCTCTAGTCAGGTTAAGCTCTTAGCAATAACAGAATGTCTGCAGTCCAAGATGCCTGACCAAAAGAGATGTGCTACACCATATTTCTAGTCAATAGAAAATTTCTCAACAAAAAAATTAGTTCTTAGAACTGGTGCTCATTTCCATGCGCTTCAATTCTAATGCTATACGATCATTTTCAAGCTTCATCCTATCATTCTCCATCTTGAGTTTTTCCAGCTCTCGATCTTTTCTCTTACAGAACCGCTGCCACTTGAGCCGCTGTTTCTCCAACTGCAGTGCTTCTGACTCAATATGTATCTTCTGCTCTTCCAATTGAAGTGCTTGTGATTTCAACCATTGATTCTGCAATAAAGCTGCTTTCTGACTTTCAGGTAAAGGTGCATGCATATCAACACACGGATTTTGTGGTTGCAATTGGAAACCCTTGCTGAAGTCCTGAGTAGATTGAGGCCTAAAATTGAAATTCTCTAGACTTAGGCCTTGTTTCATTCGTTTTGAAGGGTCTCCAGAGAGAGCATATGCCGCCTTGTTATAATTTTCTCCATAATCTTCATGATCATCACTATCTGCACCATCATCATCCTCGACAGCATCATCATGTGGATGCCTTTTTAAATCAACGTCATTATCATCTCTACTTCTCAATGCCAACTGCAAAGACTGCTGAAGTGCTGGATCAGGGGGTAGATGCAGTCGATTATTGTTATGATATGAACACAACTCTTCATAAAACAAGTGCTTCGAGCTCAGAATTTTCCTAACCTCCTCTTTTGATTTCTCAGAAATGTGATCCATCATGTCTAAAATAGCTGGTTTCTCAACAACCTGACAAGAAGTGCCCTTACCAAGAATTTCATTGAGTTTTTTATATCTCTTATTCAGGTCATTGAATTTATCCTCACACTGCTGGGGTGATACAAAAAAACCCCTCTCAGCCATCACTTTTGAAATCGATTTCCACTTACCCTTCTTATGCAAAGTCAAATATTTCCTTCTTCCTTGAGAACCCTCAAAGAATGCATCTTCACTTAGGTAAGAAATAGCAGTAATCAAAAGCTTAACCATCGAATTGTTCCATTTTACGCGATGCCATTGAGGCACATTCTTTCCCTTACTAAGATCACTTTGTCCATCCATTCCCTCCCCATTAGAACTATGATCCTCTTCGTCCGTTTGTGAATTTTTCACCCTTTCCCCTTTATTATAATCAGCAATAGAATTTGGTTGATCACAACTATGACATTGTCCCATTTTCAAAGGCAAAATTTCGTGCAACAACGACGGGTGGTTCATCAAGCCTTGACCAGGCTGCAAGGTTCTAGGGTTCTGATGGTGGTTAACCCTCATTGATCCTTGCAATTCAGAACCCCCATAAACAGAACCACCACCACCAGGCATCATATTTGCTAATGACAAATTATTATCCATCAATTTCACCAAACATTAACCTTTGTTCAACACTTTCAACCTATCTTTTCAAAGGCTAAAACCCATTTATCAAAACCAATGTTGCAAACATAAAACACACCCAAAAATTCAAGATCCTAACTTTAACCCCTAAAACCCTTATTCTAGCTAAAAACCCAAATAGATAATTATAAAATTCACAGAAATTCCATATATAAGAAACCCAAATCACTAATAATCACAACAAAACAGACAGAATCTCAAACACCCACCAAATAAAATTATAGAAAAAGCAAAATAAAGGGCATAAATTTGATAAAATTAAATAAATTAATTAAGATTAGAGAAACTTATTTGTGCTCCTCCTTGTTTCTGTCAGTACCCTCTTGTAGAATAAGCAATAAGAATTTGGTAGAAAGGCGGAGATCTAAATGTTGCAATTATATGTGACGAAAAAAAAAGGGAAGAAAATAAATTTATTAATTTGAGTAAAAATTATTTTAGAGAAATGGGGAATATATTTGAGAGAGCCAATGGCAGAATATGCAGTTACAAGGTATGGGAGTGTGTGTGGGGAAAGCCGCTAAAAGGCAATTTGGTCATTTTCAAATGTCATAAAAAGGTTTAATTATAAAGATTTGACTAAATAATTTTGATTACTTTATGGTTTAATTGCATATATAATACTAATTTTATGCTTAATACTTTGGTTCATTGGTTGTGGAATTGTACAAAATAGAGAATATGATCATGTCTAGACAAATTTGACGTGTAATTTTTGCTAATTGATTATGGGTATTTGTATAATATAATGTGATGTGACTATGAGAATCAATTTAACCCACGAATCATGGAGATGGTTGCATTTTTTTACTAGGTTCTATGTATTCTACTTTTTGTGGGATTTTTAATTTCATAATTTTTTTTTTTGGTGTTTAGAGAGCCACAAGGGCGGGGTGAGAATTGGTTCCAAGATCTCTTAACTTGATTTAAATACTCATAATTTTTAATTTCATAATGCTAATATAAGTAGTTAAGTCTAACTACATTGTTAAAACCATTTATGAGATAACCCAACCTAACAAAACTTCTTTGGGACTTATTTTTTAAGTTTTAGTTCGATTAGGGGTATATACTGTTGTCACCTTATTTTCACTGATTTTAGTTTTAATAAGTTTAATTTAAGAATGTTTCAAAAAAAAAAAAGGTTCAATTTAAGAAAAACAAGTTCGGATAACAATTGCACATGTTCAAATTACAATTAAAATAAGTTTTAATGAGGTCTAATAAATTTAAATAAATAAAAATCAGGTGAATAGAACACATTCTTAACTTGATTTAAATACTCACAATGTGTATTTCAGATTTTAAAAAGTACAGTATGTAACTAAAAGTAGACAACTATTTTTCAAAAGTACATAAGAAAGTAAGGGTGTTTATTTTATGACCTTGAATGTATCGAATGGATTTAATTTGACATTTAATAATTTTCAACGGACCAACATAATAAATCATAACAGATTCTCTATTTAGTTTATACTTTTCCATCTTTGTAGCAAATCACAAGGCGTAAAATCAGGCACAAAGATGAATAATGTGGAAGAGAGAAAATGTGATATAACACGTGTTAAGTTGTAATTAATACATAACCAACGGCGGATATTCCTATGAACTAGTTGAGGCTTGAATTGGTTCCTTTGACCAAAATCTTTGTCTTAAGCCTTGTTTAGTACGGAGTAGTTAGCGAATAGTTGATTGCTAAGAGTTGATTTCATTATCTATTTTGTCTGGTCGATTGTATTAGATATCTTGACTAGCTTATTGTATCTAGGTGATTCAAGCATACATGTACTAGTGTACTACGCAAGTTTTATTTCGATTTATATTCTCTGCTGGTAACTTTGGGCCTTTGGGCACCGTGTGAAGGATTTAGATAAGATTTTGGGCCATTGAGGTAGGTAGGGCCCATTAAACCTTATTCAGAATTTTTAGGCTTATGGTTAAGCTTAGGTTTATAATGAAAATTTTTACCTACATCCCCCTTTAGAGCAATGCCAATGGTGAGCATTTTATTTGCTCATGGGCAAATTTGATGGGAAAATAAAATGCTCACCATTGTAGAAGGTGAGAAAATTTGATCAAGCCAAAAAAAGCCCATGGGCAAAATGAAATTTGCCCAAAGAGTGAGCATTTTCGTGTAGCTGCAGTGAAGGAAGTGGGCCCCACAGCAGGTCAGACGCAATTAAAAAAATTTGGCTGGGCCCTTATCAAAACGACGCGTTTTGATGGAGTGGTCTGAAGGGCCGCTTCCAAAACGCGTCGTTTTGACGCTTAAAAAAAAAAAAAAAAAAATTCGCTGGCAGAGGCGCGTCAGACTTGCTGGCGAATCAGAGCTCGCCACGTGTCTTGCGCAGGGGATTGACCAATGAGAAAATACTAGCCGTTTACAACGGTAATATTATTTGTAACTGATTTTCCGAAAAATATATTTATTAAAAATAAATAAAATTACCAACGGTCATAAAATTAAATTCTCTATAAATAGACATGCATTTTGATATGTTTTGATATAATTTCGTAATCACCTAAAATCCTCCACTTTTTTATTTTCTTAAGCATTTTAAATTTGTAGAAGAATATATTTGTTGCAAAACATCCATATTGAGGTAAAATTTGTTTTAAAAAATATTTAAATTTTTTTTTAAATATTGGTTATTTTTTTAAAAAAAATATATACATGTAGTTATGTATTAAAATTAGTATATATGTGATTTTTGGAAGAAAAAAAAAATATTGTATGGCATGTTATGTAATTGCTTTATGTAATTGAAGAAAGTTGTTGATAATTTCTCCTTACATTACTAAATTTGTAGTAAATATAGTGTTGCAATTATTGGTTAATTTTATTTTAAATATATACATGTAGTTATGTATTAAAATTAGTATATGTGTGTTTTTTTTTTTAAAAAAATATTGTAGGCCATGTACTGTAATTGCATTATGTAATTGAAGAAAGTTGTTGATGTTTTCTCCATACATTACTAAATTTGTAGTTAATAAAGTCTTGAAATTATTGGTTAATTTGTTTTTTTAATATTAAAATTTAGTTATGACTTTAAATTAGTATATATGTGAATTGGTTAATAAAGTTGTTGATATTTTTTTGGATTTGTTGTCATTTTAATTTGTTTTTTGAGTAAATCTTAGTAAAAATATTTATCTTTTGTTTTGTGATGCAGAATCTTTTAATGGATCCAAACAACCCAAATTTCCGTCAACAATTTTCTGGTTTTAGTGATGATTTACTAACTAATCCCGAGTTTCAATTGTTCTTGCAAAGAATGGGCAATACGTCTTTGCAACCACCTCCACAGTGTCAGACACCTACTCAGTTTCCCCTACGAAACCATGTTAATGAAGAATGTACACCTGAAATTGAACATAATAGCAACACACAATTCGATGACAGCGAAGAAGACAGCGTACCAGAGACGCCGCAATATCCTCCACCAGTTCCGGAACTGAAATCCAACCAGGTTGTTGCACGAGCGACTCGAATTTGGTCAGTTGCGGAAGATGAAACTCTGATTGGGTTGTACTTGGAGATCAGCGAGAATGCTATTAAAGGCACGAGCCAGAAAGCAACTTCCCTTTGGCGCGATGTACACGCAGCATATCAACTTGCTCATGCGGAGAAGCCGCATTTACTTCCACCAAGACCTATGAAGAGTCTGACGTCGCACTGGAGAAGGTTGGCAGCAGACACACTACAGTGGATATCTTGCTATGATGAAGCAGGTAGACTTCCGGAGGGAGGGAGTGGTTACAACGAAGCTGACCGTATAAAAAGTGCGTCGAAGCTTTTCCATCTCGCCCAAGGTCGTAATTTCGCTTTTCCTCACGCTGTTGAAATGCTTAATAGAGATCCAAAGTGGAGGCCAAAGCTGAGATGGTCCTTGTCAAAGGAGGAAAGAAAAGTTGTTCGTAATGTTGAGGAGCAAGGTAGTGCTGGAAGTGGGAAGAGGTCCAGAGATGATGGAGGGGATGAAACCCCTACGGATGGTTTTTCATCTGGAGGAATACAACGACCCGAAGGTGTGAAGAAAGCAAAGGCCAAGCGTAAAGGGAAAGAAGTAGCTTCGGACAGTGGTTCGTCTGAGCTTAGCGAACGAATGAAGGAATTGGCAACAATTCGCGAGAGGGAGGCCATTCTGAAGGAAGAGCGGATCAAAATTGAAAGGGAGAAGGAACAGAGGAAAAGGGAGGAACTTGACATTCATAAGATGAAAACCTGGTTTGATATGGTGCAAGCTATGAAGAATTCGCCTACGCCACTCACTCCTGAAGAAGAGTCGTACAAGAATTTCTTACTGGGTAAATTACAGGGCTTATAAGAATGTTTGGTTGTAGTAGGTGTACGCTTGTATTAGTTAAGTTTTTAATTATGCGCAATGTAGTCTTTTAAGTTTTTAATTATGCGCAATGTAGTCTTTTATGTTTAACATGTAGTCACATTTTTGTCATTGTGTAGTCACATGTTTCTGAATTAACTTTGTCAGTATGCTTTAACTTTAGGTCATTCATACCGACATGGTGTAGTCACTTTTGTTCTGAATTCACTTTGTCAAGATTTGTCATTGTCAACTAGCATAGTATACCTATTCCGTGGCTGAAAATTTGAATGCTTTAGTTGGTGTGGTCATTCAGATTTGTAACCACATATTCATTTGATTTATTTGCTATATATAGTAGGCATGGCACATATCCACAACCACACCAATTCAGAAAATTACAATATTAATACATGATGTATTCCAGACCATCATCAAGTTCAAGTTCAAGTTCATCTTCTTCCAATAATGAAGAATATGATCAACTCGTTGATGAACTCTTCACATACCAACCCACATCTTTCCTCATGCCCCAAACACAATCCCAACGTACTTCAAAATCACGTAGAGGGGGTACGAACAGAAGAGATTGGGAAATGGGACATGCCAGGCTGTTCAATGATTATTTTTCCGATAATCCTGTGTACAATACCACCCAATTTAGAAGAAGATTTTGTATGCAACGACCTTTGTTTTTACGTATAATGAACAAGGTCGTTGAAGGTGATGTTTACTTCCAGCAGCGTAGGGATGCAACTGGAAAGTTAGGCATATCACCTATGCAAAAATGTACAGCCGCGATACGAATGTTAGCCTATGGCGTGGCTGCAGACGCTGTTGATGAATACGTTCGAATCAGTCAGTCAACCGCTCGAGTTGCCCTACAACGTTTTTGTGCCGGGGTCATTGACCAGTTCGGAACCGAGTACATGCGAAACCCTACAACTGATGAATTGGCCCGGATACTGCATCAAAATGAACTGCGTGGTTTTCCAGGCATGATAGGCAGCATTGATTGCATGCATTGGGAATGGAAGAACTGTCCAACGGCTTGGAAAGCGCAGTACGCCGGTAGGAACAAGAAAGCAACGCTAATACTGGAAGCCGTTGCGGATCAGGATTTATGGATATGGCATTCCTTCTTTGGTATTCCCGGATCTTGTAATGATCTTAATGTGTTGTACCGTTCACCAGTGTTCGATGAGGTTCTGCATGGTCGAGCTCCTCCGGTAAATTTTACGGTTAACGGCCATGAATACAACATGGCTTATTATTTAGCCGACGGCATTTATCCGAAGTGGGCAACTTTTGTTCAGGGTATCACATTCCCTCAACTGGCCAAAGATAAAATGTTCGCTGACCACCAGGCTGCCGCTCGAAAGGACGTTGAAAGAGCTTTCGGTGTGTTGCAAGCTCGATTTGCAATAATACGAAAACCGTCGCTGGCGTACGATGAGGACATACTGCGGGACATAATGAAAGCATGTATCATTATGCACAACATGATTGTTGAAGATGAGCGCCACAACTACACTCGAGCCGAAGTTCTAAGAGCCTTCTACGAAGAAGATCAACAAGAATCAACACCAGCATCAACATCTACAACGCCACCGTTTGAATTCAACGTAGGCCGACCTACCAACTTTGATTTCAACGCATTTCTACAGCGAAAAGCTTCCCTCCGTGACAGAGAAATTCATCTATCTCTGAAACGTGATTTAGTCGAACATATTTGGCAACACTACGGGCCACGTAATTAGGGAGAAATTAGCACGACTTAAATAAATCCAAGTACTATGGCGTAGCTACTTTTACTTGTTGTGTTTATTTTATTTCCTAAGTTTAATTACGCATGACGTTGCAAATGTAATTGGTTTCTAGTATTGTACCGCTTTTAAAATAAATAAAAACATTTAAGAAATTTTGAGCTTTTTTTAAAAAAAAATTTATATAACGTACTTAATTTTACGACAAATTTTAACGATAAAAAGGACAAAAATAAAAAAAATAAGTTACACAAATTTTAACTAGTTTTTATTTATTTGGAGTAACATTGTTAAAATATAAATGAAATAAATAAATAAAGAAGTGTTGTGTAGGAGAGAGAAAGTAATGGTGGGGTATTGAAAAAGTAAGAGAGAGAGAGTGGTGGGTGGGCAATTTTTTTGCTCACCATTGGGAGAGAATATGTGAAAAAAATTTGCCCATGAGCAAAACTTATTTCTTGAGAGAGAAAGTGGGTAGAGAGAGAGTGGGTGAGCATTTTTTTTGCTCACCATTGAGAGTGGTCTTAGGTAGAGTTCCCTACTCCCCCTCCCTAAACTACGTCGTTTCAATTTTTTTTATATAGTTTCTGTTTTTATTCAGCTTTTTTTTTTTCTTTCCTTCTCATTACTCTTGTTTCTTACTTCCCAAGCCACACAAATAAATTCATGATTTATATACCTAATTTTCTGTTTTTCCATTTGTTTTTTCTTAATTTTCTCTCACTATTTCATTACTTCTCTCTCATTCATGTGTTTTTTTTTTAATTTTCTTTCTCATTCATGGAGGAATCGTTGATTTGTGTTGTTGATCGTGATTGTGAAATTCTGCATTCTTCGATTGGTGATGTTGATCGTGATTGTCAAGTGATTTTACCTTCTTGTGTTAGATTGCTTGATTACTTTGTGGATCAATGTGAGTAATTTTGATTAGTTTTGTTAATATTTAATTTTGTCTCTATTTTAGTTCAATTTGTGTGTTCTGTTTTTTCATTTTGTTAGTTGTTTTTTGTTTATTAATTACTGATTTTGATTGATATTTGTTGTTATTTTCCACACTAGTAGAATAAATGTGATGGGAAGCGGTTCAAACCCCCTATTGGGAAGCGGTTTTGAACCGCATGCCATTGGGGGGCTTGCCATTAGCCTTTTAAATGGCAAGCGGCCATTTGTAGTGAAAGGGCAGCGGTTTTGGCGCCAAACCGCTGCCCATTATGGGTATAAAAAATAAATTTTTTTTTTCCAGTTTTTCCAATTAAATTGAAACAAAAACATTAATATTTTTATTAATTAATTGTTGTAATATTACATTTTCATAAAAAAAAAAATTCAAGCATATTACAACTGATGCTAGCTGCTCTTGTTCACCAGCCGTGCACATACCACCAGCCGCGCGCACCTCCAGCCGCACGCGCCACCAGTCGCCACCACCAACCACCAGTCGCCACCACCAACCACCTTAACCCGTGGTGGTTAAATTGAAACACAAACATTATATATTGAAAAAATAAACAACAATAAGTAACTTAATTTCAGATCTTTTGTGTAAAAAAAAAAAAAAATCAGATATTAAATTATAAACAACAAAATTTTAAAGCTAAAAACTCAAACCAGACCCCCACCCACCACGACCTCCACCCACGACCCTAACCCAAACCAGACCCCCACCCACCCACGACCCTAACCCAAACCAGACCCCACCCACCCACGATCCTAACCCAAACCAGACCCCCACCCACCACGACCTCCACCCACGACCACCATCCACCACGAATCAAATTAAAATTAAAATCAAAAATAAAACTAAAATCGAAATAAAAATTAAAAAAACCATTAATCTAACCCGATTTTGGCTTCAAATTATGGTTTTAAAGGTCAAATTGGACCATAAAACTCTAGATCTAGAGTTTTCATGGTCGAATTTGACCTAAAAAACTTATACACCCACATGCATGCACGAATTTGCTCGAAATTGTTCAAAATTGTTCGAAATTTGGTTGAAATTATCCTCGAAATTAGCTCGAAAATACCCAATTATGTTCAAATTTGATGAGATGAGAAAGAACAAAGAAAAGAGAAAATGAAAGTAGAAAGGGCGAGTTAGAGGGAAGAGGAGAGAGAGGGAAAACGAGAGTAGAAGAGAGCAGCCGAAATGAAAGAAGAAAGGGGCGAAATGAAAGAGGAGAGAGAGAGAGCAGCCCGGGGTAAGGAAGAGGAGGAGAAATAATGGGACTTGTTATTCATCGCCCGCAAATCTCTACATAAAGCCCACATTTTATAATTTTTTGACAAATTTGCCCTTTTTATAATTTTAACCGAAGATAAATTTTTCGCACTAAAAAAATGTGGAGCAGCACCGGATCGCCGAGGATCACCGGAGAATCGCCGTCGTCATCGGAAAACGAGGTTCGTAACGCATCGTAAGGACGAAATGGTGGCTGGCGCCTAGCCAAAAGGCCATGCCGTGGTTATGGCGCCTAGCCAGGACGCCGCCACCGTGGTAACGGCGCCTGGTGGAGAAGCCTCGACCATGGTAGTGGCGCGTGGCCAGGACGCCAGAGCCACGGCCAGGGCGCCTGGCCAGGACGCCGCCACCATGGCGGCGGCGTCCTGACCAGGCGCCCCGGCCGTGGCTTCGGCGTCCTGACCAGGCGCCCAGGCCGTGGCTCCTGCGTCCTGGCCAGGCGCCACTAGGGGAATATATTTTATTTATTTTTTTTTTTTTTTATTTTTTAATTTAATCCCTTTTTTTTTTTTTTGTTTTGTTTTTGTTTTTTTTTTTATTTGTTTGTTTGTTTTTATTTTTGTTTGTTTTTCTTTTTTTTTTTTTTTTTTTTAATTTAATCCCTTTTTTTTTTTTTTTTTGGTTTTTTTGTTTTTTTTTTTGTTTTTTTTTTATTTGTTTGTTTGTTTTTATTTTTGTTTGTTTGTTTTGTTTTTGTTTTTTTTTTATTTGTTTGTTTGTTTTTTTTTTGTTTGTTTGTTTTGTTTTTGTTTTTTTTTTTATTTGTTTGTTTGTTTTTTTTTTTGTTTGGTTTTGTTTTGTTTTTGTTTTTTTTTTTTTGGAATTTTTTTGTTTTTGTTTGCTTGTGTTGTTTTATTTCCTTTTAATTTTTTTTGGAGGGAATTAATTTTTTTTTTTAATTAAGTTTTTTTAATGCATCTTTTATTTTGTGTTTGTTTTTGTTTTATTTTGTTTTATTTTGTTTTGTATTTGTTTTTTTTTTTTTATTATGGTTTTTTTTGTTTGTTTATTTATGTTTGATAAATTTGAAATGAAATGTGTGTTATTATTTTGTTTTTTAAATGTATTATGCGTTAAATATAAAAATGATATTTAGAAATTTAAAATTTAGAAATTGCGTTTGTGATAATTTTGTGTTAAGTGTATTAATTTAATCTTAATGTAATTATATTTATACGTTATATGTTATTGTTACAGGATTATGGTGGAGACGGAAATGATTACAGTGGGATTTTTGTACATGATGGCCTGTTCGAAGATGCTCAACAAGCGATTGATTGGGCAAAACAGGTTGCAATTAGATCAGGCTTTTGTTTAGTAGTAGCAACTCATAAATCTCAACGGGATGGTAGAATGGATCGCATTTTGAGATGCGACCGTTATCGCAAAAGAGAAGAACGAGATTTCAGTAAAGCGATTCGGTTTGACTCAAAGCGGAAAGGTTGTGGGTGTCAGTTCCGAGTTAAGGTTCGACAACATCAAAGGCGTGACGGTTGGGAAGTGAAGGGTTACGGCAAATGGGGATATCACAACCATGAGCTGATAGCATACAAAGTGGGGCATCGGCAGTTAAGCGGCCTAAGTCCAGCTGCGAAACTAGTTGTAAAAGAAATGAGTGATGCTCAAGTGAAGCCCGCTAAAATATTAGCGTCTGTGTTAGAGAAATTCCCCGAAGACCAGCCAAACCGAAGACACATCTACAACGTCAGACAGAAATTGAGGTTTGAACGGTCAGAGGGAAGGAACCCTATACAGCAGCTTCTGC